AGCTGTTGAGAAACAAGTCAGACATAAAAATTTGATAAAACAGTTTCTGAGCTTTTGATATTTACGAGTTTTCAGAAGCCTTAGGTAAGAGGTCACCCGTTGACGGTGATCACGCTTTTTCTGTTATTTTTTCTGTTCGCAACATGAATACAATAACGAGGGTAGTAACCATCAGGAACTTGAAAATGTTTTTTACTTGTAATTGAAGGCGTCATCTATCTTCCCTATTCCTATGTTTGACGTTCGTTTGTTGATGTTTCAAAACGAAGTGACTCCTAGAATAGCAATCTTAAGACACGTATCATGAGCGCTAACAAAAGTACGATGAAAGGACGAATTATTCCTGCAACGTTGCGTGACAGTCCTGTTGCACATGTATAACGCTTCAGTGTGCTTGGCGTCGTTGTTTGACACGATTTACCATTTCCCTTGTAAATGTTCTTCTGTTGTTGCTTCTGCTACTATTGTTTGACTTGTTTGCTCATAGAGCACCGCGCTCGCTAATAAGTTGTTTTTTGTAACGTTGCGTCACAGTCCTGTTGCATAGCAATTTTATGATCACGTTTCAGTGATATCAAACATGGCGTCGTTGTTTGCCACGGTTTATGATTCTCTAAGTTTTCCAAACGTTCTTCTGGTGTTGCTTTTGCTTGTACTGTTACATTACCTGATGGTGCTCTACGAGTTCAGGAACATGCCACCGGGTCCGCGTTTGACGGCTATCCCTGTCTTAGGGAACGTATTTTCTCTCGACTTCAAGGCCGAGAAACTTACCGACGCTTTCAAAAGGTCAGTAAATAGTATTAGTACCTAGGGAATAGTACAAGTACGAGTTTTGTTGATTATACTCCTGTAATATTGCAGACGTATTCCAATTATAACCTAGAATAAGACTGAATTATTTCGAGAAAAGAAATAAAATTTCCACTGAAAAGCATCTCTCTTTGCCTCCGGGATTGTGCAATAAACTTAAGCAAACAAAGTTGTCTAAAATCCTTTGAGATGACAGGCAGCAATGAATGTCATGAATCTGACCGTTTATGTGTTGCATATATGCATGTAGGGAGCAAATCAATAATCTTCATTTAGAAAGCCACGCAAGTTAAAAAACAACCAACGGATGAAAAATTGTAACGACTGAACATTTACGTCATGTAATAGAGACAATCAATTCATTTATGCAAATATATTTTTAGGTACACATAGCTTGTTTGAACCATAAAACCGCTCTTATTCCTTTTTTTAGGCTCCATCCTCTAGCGCGGGCTCCTTTCCGGAACAGCGGCTAATAATCGAGCCTAGTCCGTATCTTTTAGGGCTTAAATAAAGCTCGAGCGACGACCAGATTGGTAATCTTGCATCAGTCAATTGAAATCCCGGCTCCCTGACCCCTGGGACGATCACATAGCGGGAAATTGAGCATTTACACGATGGCCAATTTCCCCGCCCCGGGTCCAAGACATCTGCTAAAAGCCCCGTGTAGCGCGGGCATCCTAATGACACTGGAACCAAATACAGAAACAACTCAATTCGGCATCGTTCGTCTCGGACGCGTTGCAAAGGTCAAACTAAGCTTGTTTNTCTCGACTTCAAGGCCGAGAAACTTACCGACGCTTTCAAAAGGTCAGTAAATAGTATTAGTACCTAGGGAGTAGTGCAAGTACGAGTTTTGTTGATTATACTCCTGTAATATTGCAGACTTATTCCAATTATAACCTACAATAAGAATTATTTCGAGAAAAGAAATAAAGTTTTCACTGAAATGCATCTCTCTTTGCCTCCGGAATTGTGCAATAAACTTAAGCAAACAACGTTGTCTAAAATCCTTTGAGATGACAGGCAGCAATGAATGTCATGAATCTGACCGTTTATGTGTTGCATGTATGCATATAGGGAGCAAATGAATAATCTTCATTTAGAAAGCCACGCAAGTTAAGAAACAACCAACGGATGAAAAATTGTAACGACTGAACATTTACGTCATGTAATAGAGACAAGCAATTCATTTATGCAAATATATTTTTAGGTACACATAGCTTGTTTGAACCAACTGTCAGCAATGATTCGATCCGTATCAACTCAAACATATTACGGTAGTTACTCACAGCAATTAGGCAGGCAAATTTTCGTAAAATACGTATCTCCGTCAAAAGTATTCTCACTTTAAATATTTTAACCTTCACTATTCTGGAATATTTTAACTTTCAGAAAAAACTAAATATCTGCTTCTACAATTTTGTGTTGTTTACAGCCTCAAAGAAAACTACGGTCGAGTCTTCTCCTTGAAAATGGGAAGTTACAAGTTCGTGATGGCTTCAACTCCTGAGGCCGTTAAGGAAATGCTCGTACAGAGATCTGCTGATTATGCTGGAAGACCGCAAACACACTTTTTCCTAGAATTTACACTAGGCAGGTTAATGGTGTACCATTTTAAAGTGGACTCTTATAGCAAGACCAATGTGCAATTTTTGTGGCTACCAATCTGTCCACCTTTTCTGTAATGTGTTAATAATTTATTCTTTTCCTGAACCCAGACTAAGAAACAACGTGGCAGGTTGTACTTGAAAGTTCCTTGAGTTTGAATTTCGAGTACTCTAAACACCATCCCAAAACGAAAAAAGATATATTTCATGAAAAATCGATCAGCGCTAGTGTATTCACAATTCTAACTTTGCCCCAAGACTAAGGTAAATAAAACAAATATATATCAATAGGAAAAGCGTAGCCAAGCAAAAATAGTGCTCAATGCTTAAAAGTAGAGCTATAGAACGTGGAGGAGAAATCAAAGATGAAAAAGAAGTTGGTTGATGATCACCACAAGGGTTGAAACTCCGAGTTACAACCAAATTCTGTTTTGCCTTTGATTTCTTCTCCGTAAAACAAAAAATATATTTCTGCATGGACAGTGTGGCCCCGCCTTACGGCCAACCCGTAAAAACGGCCCCCACGTCATTGCCTTCACTTTATTCTTTATTCTAAAGCTCAGTCAGTCATTTTCTTATTAAAGAGCTCCTTAAATACGGCCACCAGATTAATACGGCCAGTTTTTTTGTCGCCCGTTAGTGACCGGATTAATGGGCACGGGGTTCCCCTAAACTTCTTCTCCTCTACAGCTTGATGTGATTTCTTTTCCGAAACCTAAAATTCAAGCGAAATCTGTTTACGCTATTGCCACAGTAATTTAATCGCTCAGCCGTCTCTAGGTATCAATATTGATCAGTTAGTACAATAAGAAAAAAAAAGACCAAAATATCAATGTTTTTGAAATTACAGGAGGTAAGGATATTGTGTTTGGTAACTATGGGCCCGCCTGGAAGTTTCATCGCAAGCTCTTTACAACAGCGTTGCGCCAATATCTTTCTGATATTCCCCTGATCGAAAGACGAGTTTCGACACAGGCCGAAAAACTGGTGCATTTCATGGAAGAACAAAATGGAAAGCCTTTTGATCCCGCAGATTGCTTGCAGCGTGCGGTTGCTGATGTCATTTGTGGAATCACGTTTGGAGAAGGCTACGACACAACGAATCCAGATTTGAACGAGCTTTTGAAACTAAACGTAGACCTTGTTGCAAATACCGATGATGCTCAGCTGGTAACCGTTTTAGATAACTTTGCTTTCGCAAAGTACCTTCCTCTTAAGGCTTATGATCGTCTTCTCAAGCCTGCGTTAGAGATGTATGATATTATTCGCAAATTCTTAAAAGAGCGAAAAGAAACTTTCGACCCGGAAGACCCTGTACATGATCTGATCTCTGGTCTCTTGCACGCTAAACATAAAGCTGAACGCGAGAGTAATGAGATGCAAGCAGCTTTTCTTTCCGATGACTACTTCGTCAATACCATCGAAGACATGTTTGCTGCCGGCTACGAAACCACAAGCACAACAATGAAATGGGCGATAGCCTTCTTGGTCAACAGTCCAAAGTACCAAGAAGATATTCAGCTCGAGTTAGATGAAGTACTTGGTGGAAGGAATCCCGGTTTGGAAGACCGAACCAATCTGCCTCTCATTCATGCGACCATCATGGAAACGCTACGAGTTGGAAACGTGGCGCCTCTTGCAGTACCTCACTTCACTCTTACAGATACTACACTCTGTGGCTACCGCGTTCCCAAAGATACCATCGTGTTTGCTGACACGGAATCTGTTCATCTAGATCCCAAATGCTGGGAAAACCCAACCAAGTTTAACCCTTACCATCATATCGACGAGAATGGTAAGTTAATCACCAACCAAGGCAATTTCTACCCTTTTGGAGCGGGACGCCGTGTCTGTGCTGGTGAGCCCTTGGCCAAAGTTGAGTTGTTTTTGTTTCTTTCGTGGATGCTTCAGAAGTTCACTTTCATCGCTGAAGAAGATGGTCGTCCACCCAGCTTGAAGGGAATGTATAGTGGCACACAGTTTCCTGTTCCTTACAAGATACGCGCAATCAAACGGAAGTGACCTGAGATTATCACTCGGACGGTAGTTTTAGGAAACACGTAAATGTTCAAGTAGAAACGTTTACAGTACCTGTAGAAGAGCTATTTTATTTAATTTAAATAGGTACTTTGACGGACAATGGGTTTAGTGTTAGGAGAGGACTGATGGTTTCTTAGTCATTTTTTGTTTAGCCTTATCATGATTTTAAGATTTTGAAACCTTTTCTTAAGCCAACAGTAGTAGTTTACCTTAGTAGTTCCTAACTCACTCAGATTTTATTCAAATCGGACTTTGCCCTTTTCGAATTTGTGCTTGAACTGTCCTATAATTTCCTTTGTTGGATATTTATTTTAACCTGGATACCTGTGTACAAGCTGCTCTTCATAATTCCTTTGATATTAGAACTAAAGTAGTATAGGCACTGATGAAGTGAACAGCAAAATTCGATCGCTTAAGTTTGACTGATATCGGAATTTACTGTGATTTGATTCTCCAGATTTTTAGTTCTCTGCGTTTATAGTTTCATACGATCAATGACTACACATTTTTACTTTTAATTTTTAGAATATACTAGGGCCGTGGACTACCTGTAAACTAGCTGATTAGCTAAGCGTAACTCCATGTTAAAGAAAGTATCGTATCGTATCGTGTCGTGCCACGTAAGCTCCTTTCAAGGGTAGGTTCTCCCAGTTTGTTGTCATGCACTTAGTGTAACAAAGAAATCAAGGTACTAGGCGGAATTTTAAGTAAGAATCACGAATTTTGAAGAGGATAATTTAGGCTTCTTTTGTTTCCAATCGTGTGTGTATTTAGTTAGCTAGCAACATAACTTGTACTTTGTACCTGAGTGCTTCGTATAAACAAGCTACATTGTAGACGTTTTTTGATTACACCGACTTTTACATCGAGTGTAGAGCAAACTACTGCTGGACCAAGTTATGTCTCTTCCTTGACGTCCGTAGAGAATACCATTGAAGTAAATCCTCTTGAACAGGAAATCGTGACGAGTTTCCGTTCCCGCAGGCCAAGCAGTGCTCCGCAGAGTTAGATTCTCCAAGTTTTCAGTTCGAGTGTCCGTTAGCTGAAAATATACAGTCCCCAGGAAAAAATCTATCGTCACAGAAGGATCCTATGCTTGGTGGTATTAGGAAAAGTGTACATGTTTAACAAAGTAAACGTTTTCAGTAGAAGAGGTAGTAGAAGGGGTATTCCAGCCATCTGAGCATATATTTTGGAAATAATCCTGACAACAAAAGGACCTGTTTAGGACTTGTTGTGATTTTGAAACCTTGTAGATCTTTTTATCTTCTGTCCTTGACTCGTAGACATTTTACGCAACGGATTACGCTCTACGTACACTCTAATGGCGATCTAGGACCAGACCAACAAAATAAGTTGCACTATTTCATTGGGAACAGTGTACTGTTATGTTAATAATAAGCTTAATAATAAGCTTAAGCTGTTGCATATGCATAACGCTTCGGTGTGCTTGATGGCGTCATTACGATGTTTGCCCCGATTTACCATTCCCTCAGTTTTGCAAATGTTCTTCTGTTGTTGCTTCTGCTACTACTGTTTGCTCAAAGAGCACTTTGATTAGAACCGCGCTCGCCCTAGGCTGCATGGTTTGAAATAAGTTGTTTTTGTAACGTTGCGTTAAAGTCCTGTCGCAAAACAAAACTTTGCATCACGATACAATGATATCAAACATGGCGCCGTTGTTTGCCACGGTTTATGATTCTCTAAGTTTTCTAAATGTTCCTCTGGTGTTGCTTCTGCTTATGCTCTTACATTACCTGATGGCGCTCTACGAGTTCAGGAACATACCACCGGGTCCGCGTTTGACGGCTATCCCTGTCTTACGGAACGCATAACGCTAACGGTAACGCTATTGCACAATTTGAGTTCGCGAAGACTGCCTAAATTCACTCTGTTAGAGCGTTGTGTTGGAAAAAAATACACTTTGTTACTTAATTGCTATAAATACTACGATTTCATAAGCAATAAGTTGGCCGCTCCATGACTGTATATCTTGCGACGGAAAATAACTGCCTGTAGGTTACTGGCCTGAGTTAGAAGATGTAAATAATAATAATTCCTAAAATAGCTTGATTAAGTTCTAATACAATCCCTTTAAATTAAAAAAATTTTGTGCTGTTTTACAGCCTCAGAGAAAGCTAAGGTCGTGTTTTCTCCCAGAAATTTGGAAGCTACAAATTCGTGATGGCTTCAACGCCTGAGGTCGTTAAGGAGATGCTCGTCAGAGATCTGTTGATTATGCCGAAAGAGAGCAGACACACTTTTTCCAAGCAGTAACACTGGGTAAGTTTAAGGCGTACCATTTTAAAGTGGGGTTGGTTTTCATATAATCGCAGACGATCGCGGATCGCTGATCGCAGATCGCAAAAAGTTCTGCGATCGTCTGCGATCAATTGCGATCGTGCGATCATATGGAAACCTGTGATAACAGGTTTTTGGGCCGCTTACGGTTGTTATCCTTGTTACAACAATCCAGAGGGAAACACGCTTGCAGCGACGGAGTTTGTCAGACTCCTAGAGGAC